ACCACCACTTGGCAAATTCTGTGGTAATAATTCCTGGAAGCAACAAGGTATTATGAGAAGCAGGATATTCACATAGTCTCAAAGAATTGCCCCACAAGATACTCTTTTATTACAAAGAAAGCAATTTTACACTGGAGAAATCCAGCAAACACTACTTGATAAATAGTGATTGAGGTTAATTTCACCAGTAATAAACATTGACATCAGGTTCCTGTAGATATTATGCATCGAGTAGAATACAACACCACTTTTGTGAAACTCTTGCCAAAACGCACAACCTGAATTTAATCAGGAGACACATCAGAGAAACCCAAATTGAAGTAGGTCTACAAAAAGCTGGCTAGTGCTAGTTCTCTACAAAAGTGTGGAGGTCATAAAAGACAAAGACTGAAGATGAAAGACAAAGACTAAGGAACTATTCTGAAGAAAGGGCGAGGACAATTAAATGCAGTGTGTAATCCTGGATTATATCCTAGCCCAGAAAGGGGATATTAGTGATGAAATTGAATAAAGACTGCAGATTTGTCAATACTATGTCAATTTCCTGGTTTTGACAAGTGTGCTGAGGTTTTATAAGACATTAACACTTGGGGAAGCTGGATGAAGATAATTGTTTGAACTATTTTTATAATTTTTTAAATGAGCTTGAAATGATTTCACAACAAGGAGAAAAAAATAGAACTTGTCTATTCAAATAATTATCTTTCAAAATACTGTCTCTGAGATGTTTATTGTAAAGTTGTGATAAAGTTTTGACCTTTGGAAAGTGCTTTTGTTAGCAGTTTTTTTTTAAATTTTTATTTATTTATGATAGTCACACACAGAGAGAGAGAGAGAGAGGCAGAGACACAGGCAGAGGGAGAAGCAGGCTCCATGCACCGGGAGCCCGACGTGGGACTCGAGCCCGGGTCTCCAGGATCGTGCCCTGGGCTAAAGGCAGGCGCCAAACCGCTACGCCACCCAGGGATCCCTTAGCAGTTTAATATGACATAAGAAAAGTAGTTTCTTGCCATATATTGGGTTTTTATTTTAAGATTTTATTTTTATTTATTCATGAGAGACAGAGAGAGAGAGAGAGAGAGAGGCAGAGACACCGGCAGAGGGAGAAGCAGGCTCCTCGTGGGGAGCAAGAGGCAGGACTCCATCCTAGGACCCTGGGATCATGCCCTGAGCCAAGGTAGACGCTCAACCCCTGAGCCACCCAGGTGCCTCAGTCTTGCAATATATTGTTAAAAAAAACTTTGCAGTGCCTTTGTGGCTCAGTGGGTTAGGCAACTGCCTTGGGCTCTGCCTCTGCCTCTCCCCCCATGCACATGCACAGGCACCGGTTCTCTCTCTTAAATAACCTCTTTAAAAAATTAAATAAACAGGGATCCCTGGGTGGCGCAGCGGTTTGGCGCCTGCCTTTGGCCCAGGGCACGATCCTGGACACCCGGGATCGAGTCCCACGTCGGGCTCCCGGTGCATGGAGCCTGCTTCTCCCTCTGCCTGTGTCTCTGCCTCTCTCTCTCTCTGTGTGTGTGTGACTATCATAAATAAATAAAAATTTAAAAAAATTAAATAAACAAAAGAGTTTTATGAGACATAAATAAGTACTTCATGATCTTGATTCAAGGAAACTATTCTGAGACAGCAAGATTTGAATGAGGACTAGACATTTGATGATATTGAGGAATTAATTTTATTAGGTGTGATAAGGGTGTGGTGGATATATTTAAAGAAAAAAGTTTTTACCATGAACTGACATACCTAGGATTTGCTTTATTTATTTTTATTTTAAATTTTTTTTAAGATTTATTTGAGAGACAGAAACCACTTGCATGTGTCCACCTGTGTGTTCTATAAGGGGAGATGAGGGGTGGGGTAGGCAGAAAGAGAGGGAGAGAGAGAAACCCAAGAAGACTCTGAGCTGTGCCTGGAGCCAATGAGGGATTTGATTCTGCAACACCAGGATCATGTCCTAAACCAAAACCAAGAGTCAGTTCCCAATTCAGTGGGCTCCCACGGTGCCCCTATATTTTTTTTGTTTTGTTTTTAAAGATTTTATTTTATTTTATTTTATTTATTTTTTTATTTTAAAGATTTTATTTATTTATTCATGATAACCACAGAGAGAGAGAGAGAGGCAGAGACACGGGCAAAGGGAGAAGCAGGCTCCATGCAGGGAGCTGGATGTGGGATTCGATCCCAGGTCTCCAGGATCACGCCCCGGGCCAAAGGCAGGCGCTAAACCGCTGCGCCACCCAGGGATCTCAAAGATTTTATTTTTAAGTAATCTCTACACCCACTGTGGGGCTCAAACTTACAACCTTTTTTTTTTTAATTTTTATTTATTATTTTTTATTTTTTTTTTAATTTTTATTTATTTATGATAGTCACACGCACAGAGAGAGAGAGAGAGAGGCAGAGACACAGGCAGAGGGAGAAGCAGGCTCCATGCACCGGGAGCCCGATGTGGGACTTGATCCCGGGTCTCCAGGATCGCGCCCTGGGCCAAAGGCAGGCGCCAAACCGCTGCGCCACCCAGGGATCCCTCAAACTTACAACCTTGAGGTCAAGAATCACATACTCTATGGACTGAGACAGCCAGATGTCTCTCTCTGGGATTTGCTAGGGTTTTTGTTGGTTTTGGAGAGGGAGGTGGATAAGGGCAGAAGGAGAGGGAGAGAGAGAATCCTAAGTAGTTTCCACACCTAACACAGAGCCCAATTCGGGGCTGTATGTATCTCACAACACTGAGATTATGACCTAGGCCCAAATCAAGAGCCAGATGCTTAACCAGCTGAACCACCCAGGCACCCCTGGGATTTGCTTTAAATTATTCCAGGAAAAAAACCCGAATTAATAAATACTATACAAAATAATAAATAAATAAATAAATAAATAAATAAATAAATAAATAAATAAATAAATAAATACTATACATATGGGGAAGAAACTATTTGCTAAAATTAGGTAATGGGGAGGTGCCCAGCTGGCTTAGTCAATAGAACATGTGACTCTTGATCTTGGGGTTGTGAGTTCAAGCCTCACATTGGGCATGGAGCCTAATTAAAAGCCAAAAAATAAATAAATAAAATCTTTTTTTCTTTAAAGATTTTATTTATTTTAAAGAGAGAGAGACAGCACAAGCATGAACAGGGGGAGGGACAGGGGGAGAAGCAGACCCCTTGCTGAGCAGGGAGCCTGATGTGGGACTTGATCTCATGATCCTGGGATCATGACCTGAGCTAAAGGCAGGTACTTAACCAACTGAGCCACCCAGGTGCCCCCCCCCAAAATAAAATCTTTAAAAAGTTTTGGGTAACGGGTACATAAGTGCTCATAATGGGAACATAAAAGTTATTCTCTTTACTTCTGTGTGTTTGAAATTTTCCACAATAGTTTTTTTTCTTTTAACATAAACTCTACACCCAACGTGGGGCTTGAACTCACAACCCTGAGATCATGAATCACATGTTCTACTGACTGAAAAAAACAAGGCGCCCCCCCAAAAAAGTTATTTATTTGAGAGAATGAAAGCATAAAAGAGAGCAGAGAGTATAAGTGGGGAGTAGTGAGAGAGTGGCAGGGGGAGAAGGAGAAGCAGACTCCCTGATGAGCTCCAGGACCCCGGGATCACGCCCTGAGCCAAAGGCAGACACTTAACCTAAGTCACCCAGAGGCCCTTAGAGAAAAACTAGTCTTTAATAGTCCACCTTCCCCCACACCCATTTTTTTTTTTAAGATTTTATTTATTTATTCGAGAGCTACACAGAGAGGGAGAGAGAGAGGCAGAGACACAGGCAGAGGGAGAAGCAGGCTCCATGCAGGGAGCCGGACGTGGGACTCGATCCCGGGTCTCCAGGATCACGCCCTGGGTGGAAGGCAACCGCTGAGCCACCCGGGCTGCCCCACATTCTGAAATCTTGCTCAGGAATAGTAATCTCCATAATACTGTTCGTTTAACTTTCCTAACAAAACTGAGGTTCAAAGTCTAGGTCAACTCTTTTATCACCAAGTATTATGGGGGGAAATTTTTTAGGAGGAAACTAATTTTTAAAATTGTGAAATACAGATAAAGCTCAGAATCACCTCACACATTATTACCCCGACTGAGAACCAAGTGGATAGGTCGGCTCCAAGGCTGTAAGGAAATGACTCAAAGAGGAAAAAAACAAGTGATTGAGTTATCTCTGGGTGGAAGGACTGGGGACAGCCAGGAGTGAGGCAAGAACTGTGACTTTTCATTAAAATCCCCCTGCAATAAATAAATAAATAAATAAATAAATAAATAAATAAATAAATAAATAATAAATAGATAGATAGATAGATAAAATAAAATAAAATAAAATAAAATAAAATAAAATAAAATAAAATAAAATAAAATAAAATCCCCCTGCGCAGGTATTATGTTGATAGCCTTACAAAGGGCAAAGGCTGAAGGGTAGGAATAGAGCACTGAGAATACCCCCAAAAATAAGAGCATACTAAATTTTATGCTGTATATGCTTCCAGTTTTTTCCGTTCCATCTGAATCCCTTTGGAAAATATTTAAAGGGGCCAAGGTCAATAAAAGCCCACCTGGTGACTCAAAATCTTCAATAGAACTGACGTGTTAGAAAGGTCACTCTGGGGCAGCCCAGGTGGCTCAGCGGTTTAGCGCCGCCTTAGCCTCAGGACGTGATCCTGGGGACCCGGGGTCGAGTCCTAGGTCGGGCTCCCTGCCTCTGCCTGTGTCTCTGTCTCTCTCTCTCTCTCTCTCTCTCTCTCTCTCTGTCTCTCATGAATAAATAAGTAAGTAAAATCTTTAAAAAAGAAAGAAAGAAAGAAAGAAAGGTCACTCTGCTGGGGATTCTGAGCCCAGGCGCCTCGGCGCCCCGCACTCGCCGTCCCCCGCCCCCCTCCCAGGTAGGCCGGTACCACCACAAAGCCTCGCGGGAGGCGGGGCTAGTGACGTCACAGAGACGCCCGCCCCCTTACGTCGCGCACTGGGAGGCCAGAAGGTTTCTGGCGGGGCCGGCGCCATTTTGCCGGAGCCTGCGACCGAGTGGGAGTGGAGTGGAGCGGCCGTTGTTGCCGACTCTTTCCTCCTCCCCACGGTCCAGTCAGCGGTTGATTAGGCCATCGGCTCTCAAGCCGAGACTTGTCTCTTGTTTAGTTCTGGGGAGCGCCTGGCCGACATGAGTGATGTAGAGGAGAACAACTTCGAGGGCAGAGTGAGTACAAAGCCGCGGGAGCCGTCTTCGGCGGCGGCCCGATGCTCGGGGTTTCACGGGGACGAGCGCGGTCGGGCGGGGTTGCGGGGAGTCCTGCGGGGGCCCGCGGGGAGCAGCCTCTCTGGAGCCATCGCGGAGGTTTCCTCACATACCAAGATGGCTTCTGGGTTCCACTCTTTCCCCCCAAACACCGCGGATAACCCCCCCTCCCCGTTTTTTTGGAGACTGACTGATACCTGGACTCCTGGGTCCGATTTCCCCCCGCAGTGCGCCCTCCCTTCTCCCCAACCCCTGAGGCTTCCTCACCTCTGTTCCGAGGAGTAGGTCCCCGTCGCGGTGGGGCGGGAGGAGACGGCAGGGAGTTCCCCTCCGGCCGGATAGTGGTAGGTGCTTCCTGCGGTGGCATTTGTGGCGACCCCCGAGCATCGTAGAGGGTCTCGGGGTCGAAGCTGCGCGGGGCTGTTGTCCGGGCGGGGAGAAGCTGGCGTGGGACTAGCTGGGGCCTGTGTCTCCTTGGCTCTCTATTGCAGTGAGCGGCCGCGTCTCTGTTGGAACCGGCGGCGTTGCGTCTATAAAGGCGAAAGCCTTGAGGTTGAAGGTGGGACGAGCCTAATGAAGTGGTTAGTCAACGACCGCACCGACCCTTAAGCGTTCTTAAGACGAGAGCTGTGAGGGGAAAACTACGCGAGGAGCCCTTTTCCCTTAATGTCCCCTTCTGCTTTCTTTTCACTTCAAAATGAATGTGGAAATGCTATAACGCCTGAATTTTCTAATTCCTTGATGTTGGGTTTTTTATTTTTTTTTCCCTCTCTCTCTCTCCTTTATATCTCATCTTCTAATGCATTCCTTCCTGTGATCTTTCATCTAAAAACCACTTCTTTGCAGGTTTTTACGGTAAAAAAACAAAAACACACAAACCTTATTCTTACGTAACTGAACAAATTTTGTGGCTCAGTGTTTTAAAAATACCTAGTGAGTTTTAATACTATTCTGCAACTCGGAATGCTACCTGAAAACTAAAGGCCCTCTTCCTATTTTCTCTTCTTAATCGCAGCCAGCAAAGAGGGCTTAAGGATTTCCATTATTTGGGGGCCAGTGACTATAAAGATCACAAAGATAAGTCATCCTCAGCCTAGGTGTAGTAGAACATTGATAATTTGAATTCTGCTTCCGAAGTTACCCTCGTTAGTGGTAATTGGTGGAAGTGGGTTCGTGTGAAACCCTGAAAAGAAAATCCCCAGGCAGCAAGTTCTTGTTTTGTTGGTATTGTAGTCACTAGGGGAAACGCATAAAAACACTGACGGTGTGTGGTGGATGGCACGAATTTTATCATTTGTAGAAGCTCGTAATAAAAGTACTCGAAACCAGTTATATCAGAAGATCAATTTGTTCTTTGTGAGGAAAGAGATTTAAATAGGTTAGAAACCAAACAACTTTGTAATGCCTTTAAGAATGGATTTTTAAAATCTCTATCAAAGGTATAGTGAGTAGTTGAGCCTGCTTATTTCTTAGGACGGGATATTGATTGTCCCAACTAAACTTTTTAAAAATCTTGTAAGAAAAATATCTGGTGTAAGTTGCTTGTTTTGATCATGTTAGGTAGTTATGGGAAGTAATTTTTACTGTCCATTAATCTTTTCGTCCGTTGACTTCAGTACAGAAATTTATTTTTTGCTAATGTTTGTTTTGGTTTATGGGAAAGTGAAGAGGCTATGTGGGACCTTCTTTTCCTTTAAGTTCTTAATGTTTTAATTACTCATCAAGTCAAGGAATGGAACAAGTTCTAGATAACTGTCACCCACTTAAGAAAGCAGTGTATGTAAGATTCCCACCCAGTTTTATGCTAAAATGTATGTAGACATTAACATTTTACTTTCATAGAAAAAGGGTTCTCCTACCTTACAGTGTTTACGGTCATAGAGCAATATTTTTGTCAGGTGATATCTAAGGGTATTTTAGTGGAAATGAACTCAGCAGATTGAATAATAAATATGCCCACCCTTACCTGTTACATCTTTTTTTTCTTTTTTGTAGGTTGGTTATAGAAATTTTAATTGGTTAAAGAATTAGGAGAATGCCAGGAGCTTTTCTAAGGGTGTGCCTTTTTTTAAATTGTTTGAACAGTTTAGTATTCAGTAGTGCTTTTGGTTTTTAAACTACTCTGATCTCTTATCTGCTAACCACAAATCAGTTTTTAAAAGTTTTTATAGAATACAGTTGTGTTGTCATTTAGAGAGGCTCAAAACAGGATTTTCAAATGATGTCTTTGAGGTTTTTTAAATGGTTCAAATTTTATAAGTAACAGTCAACATTGACAGGTCAGATTTGTTTGCTGTATCTATGGGATAAATAGTACAACCATTAACCCCATCTTACTCAAAAGATACTTAGAGGGTAATTTTCTGTGGACTGCAGAACACATTGAAGAAACAGGACTAATAGTTCTGATATTTATAGCATTTTAGAATCTTGCCACACCCCACCCCACTGCCAGATTTTTCACATATTTTTGAATGTACTGCTTACAATCTTTTTACAAGTACTGGAATACTCAAATCGTTTTAGAAATTAAAAACTTGAGGCTTAGAAGACCTTATAGTCACTAATCAATTTTACAGGTCCCAGTCCATTGCCATTATTCCTCCTGTCATCCAATGACAGGCATTCCTCCTGCCATTGTTCATTGCATACATAGATTATGATTATATATGTCTCTTCCAATGTAGAGTATTGGAGTAAAAGAACTTTAGGAAAGAAAATGTAATTGGCTGCATTTTGTTATAAGTTAACCTAATAGTTAACCCTGTCAAAATTCCCTTCTGCCCGAGGTAAAACTGTTAAGCATCTACTACTGCCTTTCTAGTAAAGGTCAGGTGTTCTTGAGGGAAAAAGAACTAGGAATCTAATTTGAGATGACTGACAGCTCAAATGTGGGTAAAAGTAAGTATATAATCGAGTGCCCTGTTGTAGAATTAATAGAATTTAGAAAATGGAGCTGAGTAGTTTTGTGAGCTGGGGGAAGAGAAAGTTTTACCTAATGTGTAAAACTCACATTGGATTTTATGGTTAGGGAATAGATTGTATGGATATGACAATGAGGAGGTTACTGAGGTAGTGAGAAGGTAGATTTGCCTTACTATGCAGATAACGGAGGGTTTTGAATTCTAGATACAGGGATTTGGACACAGTCCGATACGCAGGAAGAAGGCATGTATTAATTCTTAATTCTGGGAGTGGCATAATGAAAGGAATTTTAGTAAAGAGCAGAAGGACTGGTACAAGAAGAGTAGTAAGGCCCACTTGAACTATTTAAAGAAGGAAATTATGAAAACTGGTCTAAACAGGACAGCAGTGGGATGTAAAGAATGAGTGAAACATTTACAAGGGATCCAGGAGAATAGGGGTGCCTTTAAAATAGGCTGATTAAAGCCGTTTACTTGGGGTATGTATATCAACAGAAATAGTTTAAGTAGAAATGGTTTTTGGAGCTGAGTTTGAGGTTGGCACTTCAGCTATGACTTTGCCTGTCACCTTCCTAAAGAGTTTGCTTCACACAGCTTCACCTAAAATTAGTTTAGGCCTCAAAAAAATCTTAGTCTCCTTCATAGAAATTAAGGGAAATGAAAATTAAGCTTTTCTTATCATTTTACTTTATTCACCCTCTACCCCTAATTTTTTTTTTTTAGACAAATCTTAGGAAAATGTTAAGCCCAATTTTTTTCTCATACAGTGGCCCATTGTTTTTAATAGAGGTTAATGATTCTCATGTAGGAGTCCATCTTACAATTCCATATTGTCTATACTTTGCAGTACAATTGAAGAGGAAAGATAATACTTATTCCTGTCTCCTTTTCAAAGTTCATTCTGACAACAACAACAAAAAAGTTCATTCTGGCATCTTTAGTAGTTAGATTTTTTTGTTGTTGTTAGAATATTTTTAAGCAACTCCTGGTGTTCAATATACTAGATGGTTTGACTGGATGACAGAAGTGAAAAGCAAAATAAATACAAATTCTTCTGTACCCATTGGGAATTGTGAGTGTTAAGATATTTTGTTAAAGAATAGCAGAAATAGGGGAAGCTTTTATTTCTTCCCTGAAACCTGACATAATTGGAGTGATGATTATGCCACTCAAAACCCATAGTGGTGACTGGCTTTAAAAACAAAACAAAACAAACCTTTAAGCTAGGTTTTACATTTTTTTTTATTGATGAAACTTAAGTAAATGTGAGAGTACAAGTGAAGTTTACCCTCTTCCTTAAAAAAAAAAGACAAAATCTCTTTTATAGATAAAAATATCAGGTCAGCAATTTATCTCTTAAAAATACTTGGTAAGGAACGCCTGGGTGGCTCAGCGGTTTGGCGCCTGCCTTTGGCCCAGGGAGTGATCCTGGAGTTCCGGGATCGAGTCCCGCATCGGGCTCCTGGCATGGAGTCTGCTTCTCCCTCTGCCTGTGTCTCTGCCTCTCTCTCTCTCCCTCTGTGTTTATCATGTATAAATAAAATCTTTAAAAAAAAAAAAATACTTGGTAAAGGGATCCCTGGGTCGCTCAGTAGTTTAGCTTCTGCCTTTGGCCCAGGGCCAGATCCTGGAGTCCCGGGATCGAGTCCCACATCAGGCTCCATCCTACATCAGGCTCCCGGCATGGAACCTGCTTCTTCTCCCTCCTCCTGTGTCTCTGTCTCTCTCTCTGTCTCTCTCTGTCTCTCTCTCTCTCTCTCTGTCTATCATAAATAAATAAATAAATCTTTTAAAAAAATAGTTATTTTGGCAATTCAACGTCATATATTATCATCACATCCACCTATTACAAAAGGATAAGATTTTTCTCGTAATACTATTAAAACCCAAGACAGTCTCGTCTTAGGTTTATTTGTTAAAGGTCCATCATTTATCCAATTTTAATGCTTTTTTATTCCTCCTGTCATATTTTAAGCAAAGTATGTGTAAACTTAAGGAAACTTTTTAATGCTCGATTTTTTTATATTTGTGACTATT